TGCAAGCTTTAAGAGGCAAGCCAGCTGGTCCTGAGTCTTAGCTTTGTTGCTTCCTAGCTGTATTCCAAAACTAAATCCCCTGCCATGAAAGGAGCTAGCAACAGGCAACGCTGTAAGCTGGAGTGGACCTGCTCCATGGGGCGTGGAGACGAAATCTTTTTAGGAGCAGACTGCCTCCTCTTTCTCCCACAGCACAGCTGAGGCATCCAACCACTGACTTTCCATTAGCAGCCCAGTGTTTAACCCATCGCACCAATAGGAACCCTCGGTGGTGTATCAGAAATAAATAACATGACCCAAAACCGTTACTGTCATAATCATACGCAAATCCATTACAAACCTGATGCGCGTTGAACTGTCTTACCTCAGCATGAGCTTATTTTTCATAAACTGCAAGATAGGAATACAAGCACCGTATCTTTATGTTTGTTTTATAGGAAGTTATCCCAACTTTCGACATGGCTGTCAATGAGATCTTCTTTGATCGGTATCCTGACTCAATATTAGAACATCAGATTCAAGTAAGACCGTTCAATGCATTGAAGACTAAGAATATGAGAAACCTTAATCCAGAAGGTAATATTTTTAATAGAAAAATACTTTCTAAAAAAGTATAAATTGTTTTATCACAGAACTTTGAAAAGATTACCAGTTGTGGTGGGGTTCATGGATTATAAATTGAGAAAATAGACTCAATTATCCTTCATACATTTCAGCCTGCTTTATTCAGGCGCTTTCTCAAGAGTTGTAATAATCACATGTGCTCTCTGTCCTTATATTTGAAAAAGAAATCTAGTTTGGGAAAGAAACAAAAGATTCCCCTTGTGATTACAGATTATGTTTAAGGATAGAAATCCAAATAAATACTTGATTGCTTTTAACAACAACAAGAAGTCTCAATTTTCATTCAACTAATATTTTGTTTGATGAAAGATAATACTATGAAAGCACTGCTGAGAAAGTGTATGGTACCATTAATAGTCAACATGTATTGGGACACGACGTTAGCAACTCTAATATGGGATTAAATGGTCCTAAAAAGGACAGTGACCACAGAAATTAAAATAATAATTGGGGAGGAAGGGGGAACTGATTGCAGTGATTGATACATAACCACCACCCAGGGGGATGAACAACAGACAGGAGTTGATGTAAAATATGAAAAAATAATAAATTTATAATTTATCAAGGCGTCATGGAGGTGGAGAGGGGGGAAAAAAGCTGATACCAAGGGCTTAAATAGAAAATAAGTGCTTAGAAAATGATGACGGTAGCATATGTACAAATATGCATGATACAATTGATACATGGAATGTTATAAGATCTGTAAGAGCTCCAATGAAATGATTAAAAAATAATTTATAATTTATCAAAAGTTCATGAGGGTGGGAGAGGGAGGAAATAAAGGAGCTGATACCAAGGGCTCAAGTAGAAAGAAAGTGTTTTGAAAATGATGGCAACATATTTACAAATGTGCTTGATAAAAGTTGATGTTCCCATTGTTGTAAGAGCCCCCCCCCCATAAAATGACTTTTTTTTTAAGGGAAATATGGGACAAATATTTGTTTGGATGTATGATGATTGAAATAAACATTAAAAATTAGCTAAAGCTCCTATAGATAGATATATCAAGCATATAATAAATGCTTAATAGTACACAAGACAGCCAAGGACCATGAGCAACACCGCTTACTAAAGAAGTGCAGTTTGGATCTGACTCGGTACTCAAGCCAAACCCATTGTGCCATCAGGTGCTTTCCAATTGATAGCAGCCTTCTAGGACCTGGTAGAACTGACTCAGGGTTTCCCTGGTTATAATCCTTACAGCGGCAGAGTGCCATGGCTTTCTCCTGTGGGGTAGGTTGTTAGCAGCCAAGCCCTTAACCACAGCACCACCAGGACTCCTTCACTCGGTTCGGTTATGAGTAAAGCCAGGTCTGTGAGTTGAGACCCAATGTTTTCACCAGACAATGAGATGACATAACATCCCCGAAGTAAGAATGTAGTGAGTGAGGGGAGAAGGGGAAAGGGGATAAAAAATTAAGATTTTATTCCAAAGCCAGGAAGAGGGGTGGGATAGGAGGATAGAGGTGACAGTGATCCCAAGGAGTTCTTTGAAGGATCTCCTCTTTCACACATGGTCCAAAAGTGGACTAAGGAACAGCTCTCTGGACGTTGCCCAGCCCCGGTAGGCAGCTAT